ATGTAAACTAAGGTGATGGTTCTGACTGAAGCTCTCCCCACATTGCACACATTGATAGGGTTTCTCCCCAGTGTGTGTCCTCTGATGAATAGAAAGGATGCTGCTTTGGCTGAAGCTCCTTCCGCATTCCATGCACTTAAAAGGTTTCTCCCCAGTGTGAGTTCTAAGATGTGAACTAAGTGTATTGCGGTGACTGAAGCTTTTCTCACATTCCATGCATTGATAGGGTTTCTCTTCCGTGTGGATTCTCATATGGGAAGCCAGGTGTGAGCTCTGTCTGAAGCTCTTCCCACATTCCAAGCAGAGAAATGGCTTCTCGCCTCTGTGGATTCTCATGTGGGAAGCAAGATTTCCACTCTGCGTGAAGCCCTTTCCACATTCCAAGCACTGAAACGGTTTCTCCACTGTGTGGATGCTTGGATGGGAGAAAAGTGGACCACTCTGACCAAAGCTCCTTCCTTCTTCCAAACTTTTCAGCATCTCCTTTGATGTATGGAATTGGTGATGGGAAGCAAGGCATCTTCTACGCGGGACGGTCTTGCTGCATTTTAAGGGTTCTTTCTGCTTTTTAGCCATGATGGCGCCAAGAAACACAGCACCTTCTTCTTCCTCACTCATCTTCACTCTCCTACTCATGGCTGAAATGAGAAAAGGAATCTATTTATTTATTCTATTCTATTTATTCTATCTGGTTGATATGGAACCTAAGTAGAAAATTACTCTCAATGATGGGAGCAACACTGTGTAGGAGACAGGAAGGGGAGAAAATTCTTATGCACATAATTTCCCTCCTGATCCTATTTGTAAGATTGGTTTTATGGACCCAAGAGGGCGGAAAGACCAAGCTCACCCAGAGAGATCAGACTGGCTACATTTTCCTCCATGACTTTTCGGTGCAGAGCCCTCTGGCGTTCATTCAGTAGAGCCCATTCCTCTTCCATGAAATGGACAGCAATATCCTCAAAGGTCGCCAGGACATCCTGAGAGAAGGGGAACTATTAAAGATTCAAGCAGAAAATCTACTGTTATTCTTTACTATAAATATATGCCGTCAAGTCAGCTCTGACTGATGGTGACTCGTTTTAGAGTGTTCTACAAAGATAATACAGAAAAGTGGTTTACAATTCCGGTCTTCTAGTGGTGCCCTAGTACTTGCCCAAGTCAACCTACGCTAGCTCTTCACCCCGAAGGCAGAGAGGGGAATCAAATTCCCATCCTCTGGCGTCACAGCCAAAGATCTAGCACACAACGAGTGATCAATACTTTGCTCTACAGAAGAAAATGGAGCAATTCATGCAACAGACTCTCAATGTCCTTAACGGGCAACTTCGACAAAAGGAAACAAGAAAGGAGAGATACCTTCGAGCTCCGAGACATTTTCGAGGGAGGAAAGCATCCGACACTGCTCCAGCAGCTTGTTCCAGCCAGATCCGGTTCTGCAGGAGCTGTTCCCACTTCTCCAAAAAGAGTTGAACAAGGGTAACTTTCCAACATCATTCCAATACCTGAAGGAAGGTCAAGAGAGTGCAAAAATATTAAATTTTTCAGAGATGTTATATACTGGCCCAAGAGAAAGATCTTTTTGGACTAACCAAAACTTTAAATTCTATATAGGTGGGGGTGAGATGGGCTCAAAGAGAATGAGGAAAGAATTCAGTTGAGGACAAGAGAGACCTATCAACTTTCTCCTCAATCTCCAAAGTAGATAACAAAGCCCAAGATGCAGAAAAGGCACTCGACATGATGAGTAGAGGACATGCTTTTTGCCCCAGGAATTGCGAGAAGATATTCAGAGCGTTCCCAGCCCTTTTTAATGAGCAGAACAAAACACTCGTTTATTAGCAGCCGCACAAGCACCTCTTCCAACCTCTTCTATGCTTTGCTCCAAAGGAAACCTTTTGTCAGGGACACCAGCTGGGAAGTGATTTCAGGTCTCCATTCCCTCCACCCCCTCTCACTTTCTTGGGTGGGAGGATAGCCAAGAACTGTTGGAGGGCGATCAAGCCCGGGATCCATAGCTTGAGCCACTGAGAGCAAATAACAGATGTTTGTGCATCTGAGCTCAAAGATAGAATTTTCTTTAGGATAATGCTAATCCACCGTGTTGTCATCAATGGGAAGGAACAGGGCAGTAAAAAACAACAATGAATATATCAAGGTTTTCTTTAGCATCTTTCATGGTTAGAATGCATTTCAAACATATGGTAATCCCAGAAGAAGAATCTTAGGATGAAGTATCTGCAGTTCTAAAAAATAAAATGCCAAAAGCACTAGGAAGAAGGAAAAAACCCACTTCAGTTGACGGAATACCAGCAGAACTGCTTCATGCCACAGAGAATGTGAAAATCCTAACAAGAATACGCAAACAAATATGGAAAGCAGAACAACGCCCAAAGACTGGCAATGCTCAATTTACCTTCTAATCCCCAAGAAAGGGGATGCCAAGGAGTTCAGTCACTATAGGATCAATGCTTCAATATCCCATGCAAGCAAAGTGATGATCAAAGGGTGCAACAAAGATTTTTGCCGTCTTTGGAGTGACAACTGTCGGAGGTTCAAACTGGATTCCGAAAAAGAAGAGGCACTGGAGATCATATCAGAAACATTGGTTGGCTACTGAAGTGCACCAAAAAATTTCAGAAGAAGATGCTTTATATTCTGTCATGTTGATGATGTGATGATGCCAACCACCCAGAATAGTGTTTTACACTAATGGGGTGGTATACTAGTGAAGTGGGGCAATCTGTATCCAGAACATAATCATATGGAAAGCCAGACTAAATTTGGATGAAGGAGGAGAGAAAACTGATGAAAGAAACATCAATAATTTATTACCGGCAGAACACAGCAATGACTTGAAACGACTTTCAGGCATAGTAAAAGAAGAAAGTACCAAAGGAGGGCTGTAGTTGACCATTAAGAAGACAACAATCACAATTTCCGTGACTCCCAAAGAACAACACAACTTTCAGGCTGACAAAGAAAAACTTGAAATAGGTGAAAGATTTTGTGTATCTTGTTTCAATCAATCCCAAGGGAATCTGTCGGTAAATCAGAAAACTGACTCCTGGAAAGGCAGCAATGAAGGAATTAGAAAAAGTCATCAAGTGTAAGGATGTGCTGCTGGAGACCAAGGCCAAGATCACTGACACCTATGTATTTCTGATCATCATGCAGTTATGTGAAATCTGGACAGTAAAGAAAGCTGGCAGGGGAAGAAACGTAATTTGTTTCAAATATAGTGTTGGAGAAGAGCTTTGGGGATGCCCTGGACTTCCGGAAAAACAGACAAGTGGGTCCTAGACTGAAACAAGTCTGAATTACCTCTAGAAGCAAAAATGTTGAAATGGAAGCTGTCCCACTTCGGGCACACCCTGAGAAGACAGGATTCCCTGGAAAAAACAATAATGTTGGGAAAACTTGAAGACAGCAGGAAAAGAGAAAGACCAAATATGAAATGGATTGACTCCGGAAGGGAAGAAACAGGGTGGAGTTTGCAACAGTTCAGCAGGACTGAGGACAGGACATTTTGGAGTGCTCACTGGAAGGACAGATCCTGAAGCCGAGACTCCAATACTTTGGCCATCTCATAAGAGAAGACTCCCTGGAAAAGACCCTGATGTTGGGAAAGTGTGAAGGCAAGAGGAGCAGGGGACGACAGAAGACGAGATGATTGGACGTTGTCAACAAAGCAACCAACATGAATTTGACACAATTCCGGGAGGCAGTGGAAGGCAGGAGGGCCTGGCGTGCTCTGGTCTATGGGGTCATGAAGAGTCGGACACAACAACAACAACATAACAACGCACCAAAGCAGACAGTGAAACAATTTTGTTCATCTTATGGGTGCCACAATACATTTTGTTATATTTTCTAGCTGGTGTGTTTTGAGTGTTATACTTGATGATAACATCATTGTTTGATAATGATGAATGGGTTCATTTTCAAATAGGGGACAATCAAAGAATGCTCACCGAGAGACACCAGATGGGTCAGAGTCTCCTCCATGACTTCCTTGTGCAGAGCCCTTTGGTCGGGATCCAGCAGAGCCCACTCTTCCTCTGAGAAAGACACAGACAGCTCCTCCAGAGCTTCTGCAACCTGAAAGGGGGAAAAAGGAACTCTTGATTCTCACAGGTATCACCAGTGTCCTACATTTTCTACGGTATGGTCCAGAAAAGAAGGACATTGACTAAGTATATCAGTAAAGGATTGAAGTAGGCTAGACAGAAGCAAATGGAAAGGGGCAGATCTTTTGGGGGCCCAGGGAAATGCACGAGGAGAAGTGCCAAGGCCCCTCCACTCCCCATTTCGTTCTCCCTTACTTGCTCTGGCTTCATGGACCTCATCTCCATTCCTCCATGCAGAAGAGATATAGGATGATGTGTTCCCAGGTTATTTCCAGGGTCTGCAAAAAGAACAAGGGGTGGTGGTTAGAAAAATGTTCTCTATGTATACTTTCTCTTTTACTTGCTTTTAATTTATTTTTAAAGGGAGTCTCTTTCTGGAAGACTAGCAAAATTCAAAATGATCTTGATAGGTTGTGGTTTTTTCGGGCTCTTTGGCCGTGTCCTGAAAGTTATTCTTCCTAATGTTTCGCCAGTCTCTGTGGCTGGCATCTTCAGAGGACAGCACTCTGTGCTATCCTCTGAAGATGCCAGAGCACAAAGTGCTGTCCTCTGAAGATGCCGGCCACAGAGACTGGCGAAACGTTAGGAAGAGCAACCTTCAGGACACAGCCAAAGAGCCCGAAAAACCCACAACAACCATTAGATCCCAGCCGTGAAAGCCTTCATGAATAGATCTTGATAGGTTTGAGTACTGGGCTGAAAAAACAGAATGAAATTCAACAGGGATAAGTGCAAAGTCCTGCACCTCGGAAAAAGAAACCAATTGCACAGTTACAATATGGGGGAATACCTGGCTCAGCAAAACTACGAGCGAGAAGGTTCTTGGAGTTGTCGTAGATCACAAGCTAAATATGAGCCAGCAGTGTGATGTGGCTACAAAAAAAGCAAATATTATTTGAGGCTGCATTAACAGAAGTATAGTTTCCAAATCCCATGAGGTGCTGGTCCCCCTCTATTCAGCACTAGTTAGGCCTCACCTTGAGTATTCTGTCCAGTTCTGGACACTCCACTTCAAGAAGGATGATAACAAATGGGAACAAGTTCAGAGGACAGCGACCCGATGATCGGGGGGCTGGAAATTATGAAGAAAGGCTGAAAGAACTGGACATGTTCAGCCTTGAGAAAAGACAGAAAGGATATAGGACAATGTACAGTGGTGCCTCGCTTAACGAGTGCTTCGTTTAACAACAAATCCGCATAGCGATAATTTTTTGTGATCACATTACGATGTTTTGAATGGTAAAAAATCGCTTTGCGATGATCAGTAAGCTGTTTCGCTTACTGATTATCGCATAGCAATCTTTTCCCAACAGCTGATCGGTGGTTCCAAAATGGCCACCGGGTAAAAAAATGGCCGCCCGTTGTGTTTTAGCGCCCATGCCTTGCTTACCGGGCAGCAAAAATGGCGGCCGTATGGAGGATTTTCGCATAACTGTGAGTTTTTTGCCCATAGGAACGCATTAAACGGGTTTTAATGCATTCCTATGGGCTTTTTATTTTCATATAACGATGAATCTGCATAGCGACGATTTTTCCGGAATGGATTATCGTCGCTATGCGGGGCACCACTGTATATTCAAATATCTGTGGAGATTCTCAGTCATCCAGGTGAGGTTATCTGGACGTTGAGTCATGGCAACTGTATTTCTTTCTTATTAGGTTGAAACATTTTGCTACTCATCCAAATAACTTCTACAGTCTGAGAGTAGCTAAATGTTTCAACCCAATAAGTCCAGTTGCCACTTTTTAAAGACTTGAAAGGCTCTCATACAGAGGAAAGGCAGGATCTGTTCTTGATCCTTCCAGAGTGCTGGGCACGTAACGATGTGCTCAAGTTTCAGTTGAAGATCAGAAAAAACTTCTTAAATGTTAGAGAAGTATGACAGTGGAACCGGTTACCTCAAGAGGCATTGAGTGCTCCAACGTGGGAGGCATTCAAGAGAAACTTAAGACAACCACCTGGCAGATCTCCTTTGACGGGCATTCCTGTATCGAGCCGGGGGTTGGACTTGATGGCCTTATAGACCCTTTCCAACTTCACTATTCTATGACTCTAGGATTCATATTTTGAGCTACACAGATGTTGATCCAGTACTTCCTTACCTGAGAAAACAGTTCCATAGACCCTTTCCAACTTCACTATTTTATGACTCCAGGATTCATATTTTGAGCTACACAGATGTGGATTCAGTACTTCCTTACCTGAGAAAACAGTTCCTCCTCCTTTTTCCTCTGCTTCCTGCAGGAGGATGTGCTATGGTCTTGGGTGAACAAACTCTGAGGTGACCAATTCTGAAGACACCTGAATACAAGAAAAAAATTGGGACACATTGATGGAGGAATGTTCAGCATCGCCAGTACTGAGTACAGAGGTCAACCGGGCCTCCTGGGGGTGGGGGGGTTGATCTTAGCCAAGGGCACATGGGGTCCTCCAATTTTTAACCCTTTGAATGTGTTTCTCCACTTCAGTGGAATTTTTGAATTCTGAATCTTCTGTGGTGTTATTTATGTGACGTTTCATACGTAAGGCAGTTTATCCAGGATGTCAAAGAGAGAGAGTTAAACAAAATGACATCCCGCCGCTATAAATACTCAACTATTCCACAAACTGCACCAGAGCACAGAGTTCTGACTCCCGTCCTCTGAAGATGCCAGCCACAGAGACTGGCGAAACGTTAGGAAGAAAAACCCTCAGAACACGGCCAAACAGCCCAAAACATCTACAGCCACTGTCGGATCCCAGCCAAGAAAGCCTTCGAGAATACAAAATTATATTGCCATACCTTTTGATAAGAATAACTGTGTGCCATCAAATCAATTCCAAGTTATGGATAATGCACACCAATAGTTCGCCATTCCCTTCTATGGGGTGTGGTGGGGGTCCTGGGACTGTCCAGCTTGCCCAAGGCCACACAGGCTGGCTTTACCTGTAGAAGGCACAGTGGGGGAATCAAATTCCCAACCACTGACAGCACAGGCAGATACCCAAACAATGAAAAAAAATTATAATACATGCCATTATTTACAGTGGTTCCCCGCATAGTGACGATAATCCGTTCCAAAAAAATCATCGCTATATGGATTCGTTGCTATGCGGGGCAAAAAAACCATAGGAACGCACTGAACCCCCTTCAATGCATTCCTATGGGCAAAAAACTCACCTTAAAGCGAAAATCCTCCATGCAGCTGCCATTTCCGCTGCCTGTTAAGCAAGGAAAGGGCGCGAAAACACTGCGGGTGGCCATTTTTTCCGGCAGCCATTTTGGAACCGCCAACCAGCTGTTTTTTAAACATCATTATGCGATAATTGGTAAGCGAAACGCTTACTGATCATTACAAAGCGATTTTTACTCATTGAAAACATCGTGATGCGATTGCTTTTGCAATCGCAAAAACCTCATCGCTATGCAGATTCGTCGTTAAACGAATTGCTTGTTGTGCAGGGCACCACTGAATGTTGAAACATTTTTCGCCCCATAAGTTATATATCATGAGGGGGGCCTTACAATGTGAAATGTCCCAGGATTCACCACATCTCTCAATGGGCCTGCTTGGGAGGTGGGACTCGTTCTTCAGGTAGTAAAACTCCCAGAAATGCTGGTACTGGATGTCTGAACTGAGAGTGCCTCCCACGGTGTTCGGTTTGGTCTGTTCCTTCTAGCGTTTTCCCCCTTGCTCCAGACTTCCACGTCGTCCGGCTATTTCCCAGCTTCAGGGCCACCAGAGTTTTGCATGTCCGTCTCCTCCAAAAGAACAGAAATGCATGGTTTTCTCTCTCTAGCAAAGGCAGACACAGAAAGGGAAGGAAGACAAAGGTTTGGTCATGCTTAAGGCCTCGATCCAAGGAGGATTTGGGGTGACGGGCAGAGGATAAGAATTGGCAGAGCTGTGTCCCTAATCCTTCTCACATCTCCTGTCCCCCTCCCTGCTTTCTGTGGTACAGTAGTACCTCGGTTTACGTACGCCTCCATTTATGTAACTTCCGGACTACGAACGGAAATCCGTTCGAAATAATGCCTCGATTTATTTTTTTCCCCACGCTTTCCTTCAGTTTGTGAAGGACGTTTCCCTGTGCCTGGAGGTTTGTAGTGCCATTGCCATAGCTATGGCAATCCACGTTTTAGTTTATGAAATTTCCGCATGACATAATGTTACAGAGAATTTCGTAAATCGAGGTACCACTGTATACAGTTTCTGAATCACTGCTTCCCCACTAAAGTCCCTCCACCAACCTACTGTCGTCGGGAATTCTTTTCTCCTGCGTTCACATCTGGGTGACTTAACAGAAACAGCTTCCCAATGTGTCAGACAGAGAAGGAGGTCCAGGGAAAGAGGGTTTCAAGAATCTTCTGGAACATCATCTCTCTCGCACCTTTCTCCACAGATGCGCTGAGTGTCGGGCCATTTCTGGAAGGAAGAACAAGCAGTTTCTTTCCTTTTTATGGGCTGTCTCGAGCTTCCTTTCACATCCAGCCAAAAATAATTTAAAAAATTACAACAAAACTCCATCCTTTCCTATTGCCTCCTCCTGAATCATTTCTAATCTCCCAGCAGTGAGATCTACCACTGGAGTCTCGGATTTCAGAGCCCGGATGATCAAAGCCGGCCAGGAGGAGAGGGCGCTGCCGGCTTGATCCGACCTGCAGCAGCCAAGATTTCCCTTTCCCCCTCCTCCCTTGAGCCTGGCAGGGTCTTCTCGCAAGGAGGAAGAAAAGGGCTGCTTTCAAGGCCAACGTCTCCTGCCTCTCACCCAGAGAGAAGCCCAATCGCTCTTTCAGGAAGGGGGGAGGAAAGAAAAGTGGCTCCCAAGAAGACAGAGAGAGAGAGACACCCCTCTCCCAGTCACCCCCCTCCTCCAAAGAGCAGGACTCACTGGGGAAACTGGTTTCCAAACCCACCCACCCCACACTCCCTAGCTCTCTCTGTGTGGGGGGTGAATATTCTCGGGAGGGGAAGGCTTAATATCCTCGGGAGGGGAAGGCTTGGCTTGTCAAGACTGGCAAGGAGGGAGGGAGGGGTCCCCAAGACAGGAGGGGGGAGTATTTTAATGGGCGGATTCCCCCAAAAAGGAGGCTCAGAGGCCCCCCCCCCCAGCCTTTGAGAGGGAAGAAAGGCAGGAAGGCAGGGGAGAAGGGGAAAGGGGACCCCCTCCAGGCTGCCCAAAGGCCCTCCCCGCACCCCTTTGCCCCCCACCCGCAAAGGCCAGCCCTTGGCCCTCTCCTGCCCTCCCCCCCAGGGCTGCCCCTCCGCCTCCTTTCCACCCCGTCGTCCCATCTTGAAGGGGGGGTGCTCACACGTTTCCGAACTTCCAACGAGGCCCCCCGGAACGT